AACCCAGAAGACAGCCATCTTCACATACTTAGGTTATAAAACCAGAAAAAACCCTGATATTTGTAAAAACAGAAATTCATATTGTATTTAAAACTACCAGCAACTTAAAACCAAAGAAACATCAAATCGATATTTTTAACAAGTGACATTTACCAGCTGGCTTCCCAAGATTGCTGCAAAAAATTCGTTGGTCATACTGGGAGTAGAGCAGAGGCCAGATTATCCGACACTTGATTTCAACCGACGTGCCGTTTCAGAACGCTCCATTTCATTAACAGTCAACTCGGCACGTAGCGGAATAAATCACCCCCCACCCCACCTACTACAATTTATGCACCCAGCTGCTACAATATAATACTGACGTACCACTGTTCAGGCGCTGGCACGACTTCACCACAAAGAAAAGGAAGGAGGTTCAGAAGCGAACTTCTTCGAAAAATAAACTCTCATTTACAAATTTTTGAGATTTTTTTCGTTTGATGCTATATTTCAATTTCTTCGTAATTCATTAATATCGTAAATTGAATTTTGAACTGAATTATATTTACCCTTATCTTTTTCATCAGTCTTCCATATTTAAAAACGTAAAGCTGTCCCACTACACGCCATGTAGGCGCTTTGGGGGAGAGAAGGTATAGCTCCTACTCATTCTTAACCTCAGCACTAGATAGTGGTGAGTGGTCAGCGTCACGCCCAGCCGCATTTTACCATCGGGAAAGGACCCTGGTACTCATTGGATAGGAGGCTGGGTGGGCCCCAGAGCCGGTCCGGACGCACAGGACAGAGGAAAAATTCCTCTGCCCCCGTCGGGGATCGAATCTCTGTCGTCCAGTCCGTAGCCAGTCACTATACTAGCTCGATATTACCCGACATATTAGATTATCCGACCGTCCTTTGGTCCCATTCAAGTCGGATAATCGGTACTATTGTAATTTCAAAGCCCGTTACATAGAATATATTTGACCAAAAGTTATTAAAATCAGCCGTCACAGTGGCCGCTTGGTCACTGGGACCGTGGGTTCGAATCCCACTCAAGGCATGGATGTTTGTCCGCGTCTTTCTGTGTTGTACTGTCCTGTGTACAGGCAGAGGCCTTGCGACGGGCTGATCACTCGTCCAAGGAGTCCTACCGAATGTCTAATAGATCAAAGCCAACGAAAGTTGGGACCCGCAGATGCTCAAGGCACTGAAGAACGGGTCGCATAAGTAGGTAAGTTATAAAAATCAATAAAACCAATTACAAATAAGTAAAATATGTCCTCCGTAGTGGACACTCCTATGGACCTACTGGAAAAAAACAAAACAATAAAGGTACACCATATTCGAGCAACCAAATGTTACACACCTCATCCAACTTCATATAGTCATTAATGAATTACCCCGATGTAGTCCATCTGAAAATTCCTTCGAACTTATTCAAAAATATCAGTATGTAATCAACCCCAAATAAATAGTATACCGAAGATATCCACATGGTAGACAAATCTGTGGAATGAATTTACCATATAAATAGCTCCATACAATTTAATTTTAATCTTAATATTAATTTTAATTTAATTCCAATTTTTAAGAACATAGTTGGCACATTACACCTCCAAGCTGGAGTGAAGATTTTGTTTTAATATCCAAACATGTTATCACTAATAAAAATGATTGTTTTAAGATATTATCCATGGTATCTACTTTAAATCTTCGAGTACTTTATTCTAGACGACGACATCTCGATGCTTTATTTCTTATTAATGAATTTAAGGGCAAAATAAATTGTCATTCCATTATAGACGCTGTTGGTTTACGTGTGCCGGCGAGGCAACTAAGAGAATTTTCTATTTTTAGTGTGAGCAGTGCACTAAGACATATTCCTTCAGCCAGGTGCGTCATCGCTGCAAATGACGTATGTATCTTTGGACGTATTTAGCGTAAACATTATCTCCTTTGAGGGCAAGTTCCCAATAAGGGAAATGATCTAGATAGGTTATCTTGATAGATGAACTAGCTTGGTTATCTGTATTTTTGTATTTCTTTAACGTTTTACATTTATATTAGTGTTTTCCTAGGTGGATTATTTGCTTTTATTTATATTTATTCATTTATTTTCTTTGTGTATATTGTTTCTATTTTGTGTTTGCTTGTATTTGGCTGTTACATTTAATACTGTACTTGTATATGTTTAGTTAATCTGCTTGTGTAATATTTTCCATTATTATTTTTTTATCATTGTATGTATTATTAGTGTTTGCCTGTTATAGGCTTCTTGCTGTTGGCAAACACTTAAATAAATGAACTGAATTGAATATTTGAAGGTAATAATCATAATATACTACGAAAGTTATGTATTTGGCTACCGAAGGCAAATACACCCTAAAAAAATTCATATTTGTAATATCAGTGACAAACGTCTTCCACGAAACTTTCACAGATCGCAGCAACCCCATCTATGAAATTCTAACGAAATAACATTTAACTGCACTTTGTGTCATGCGGTCATTCGACCGGTACCACAGTTCTTCTTCAGCTCTTGCTTTGACCGCGTCAACACAAGGTCTTCTCTGTGTAAGTACTCATTTCTATAGACATCCCTCCGTAAAAGTATTCTGCTTTATTTCATATTCAGTAATTTTACTGCAGTTACCTGTACATCCAAAAATACTCTCTCGGGGACGTCGCATAACTTAATGACATCTACAGCACAGACTATTTTAACATTTACATTTATGTAAGTTGTTCACATTATCATATTTTAAATATTCAATTACTTGTCTCTTATACTTCCTCTGCTTTCAATAATCTTGAAGAAAATTATACATGACCCCTGTATAATAAATAACCTTCGTTACAGATTGTGCAGGTTTAAATATCTTCTCTTCGTTAAGTTCAACGCGTACACAAGTATATACAGAAGAGACTGGGCAACTTGCTAAAGTTGCCTTCTATTCATATTACGCTGGATAGTTGAAAATATACTCTGAATTTTGTGACAGTAACTACAAATTATTCACAATACCCCCTTCCCCCGATTTGGAAACGAATAAGAGTTCCCATATTATGTATGATTTGAGGTTTTCACAGCGGTGATTATGAAGATTTCCGTCTTCTGGGTTGTTGTGCTGTGTAGTCTGGTAGATGTTAACCGACGTTTCAGAGGTCATACTGCTTCCGTCATCAGGGCGATGAGTATGAAGATTTCTGTCTTCTGGGTTGTTGTGCTGTGTAGTCTGGTAGATGTTTACCAAAGTTTCAGAGGTCCGTCATCAGGGCGAGGCAGTATGACCTCTGAAACGTTGTTTAACATCGACCAGACTACACAGCGCAACAACCCAGAAGACAGAAATCTTCATACTCATCGCCCTGATCACGGAAGCAGTATGACCTCTGAAACGTTGGTTAACATCGCCCAGACTACACAGTGCAACAACCCAGAAAACGAAAATCTTCAGTTCCCATATTAATTTAATATCTTGACGTTATAGATCTAGAATTTTGGTACCAACCCCTTAAGCCTAGAACATTCGATTGTTTATAGTACAGGACGTTACCAGTCCCTCTGTTGGTAAAATAAAATACGTAAACTACACTTAACAAGGATCCTTGTAGATGGAGTACCTAGATATTTCAAGGTGTGATTGTTTTATCATTACAAATTTTATTAATCTAATTTTTAATATTTTCAAAACAATCTATTAAAATGTCATACAGTTCAATTTTTAAATTTTTTATTGGCAAAGTATGATGATGGGCAGATATTAGGCCCAAATAAAGTTACATCTATACTGTATCCTTCATTAATTCATAATTTAAAAAAATAATTTGTTTTGTAGACGGAAAGAATGCTTGTTATATCATATTACACAACATGCTGTCTCACCACAAGACTACCAATGTGTTCTTCCTTTAGGGCGTGACACAAACCTGTTTTTCGGCTTCACTGTTCACACTGTTCACTGTTCACTGTTATTACACACACTAAAGGAGAAAGAATTACATGTAACTAGCTCAATGTTCTCAAAGCCGTGACATAGTAGAACACTGAACTAATGATAAAACAAATCTGATTTGAACGTGGACCAAGTAAGTCAAAAATTAATATTCTGTTGAAGCAACGAAGAGTTTTCGCAGACAACGACCTGCTGTGATAAGATTGTGCAGGGATCTGTTAACACCGTGGTGTGTTCACGCACAGCTGGTGTGACGCGCACGATCAACGTCCACCGCAAGTATCAAACAACTCGAGAACAGAAAACCATTATAATTATTACTGCAGAGTTCTACGAAACAACTGTCGGGACAATTTCCGTTTTCATTAACATAAATAATTTGTACGATCACAACTGAACTTTATTCAAATACTTACGAATATAATTGCAAATCGGATTTAAGCTGACTTTCGCCATGTGTTCACACTGCGTTATCGCAACTAAGTATGACTGTGTAATTTCTCCGCGTACTATATATCGACAGGGTCGTTAAATGAATCGTAAATAGTATACAGCAAGTTGGTCACACTGCACTTAACTTTTTGTAACCCAAGGTCATTCTTCCAATTATTTAAGCCTATATTCTGCTGTGTCCTTGATAAAGGTCTGATATTCACTAGGGGCATGATTGTTCCCTTTTTCCATACTGTAGCCTACTTTCCGAGTTCACAGAATATGACGTGCAAATGTATTCGAGGACATTGATCATGTCTGGGTGTCACTCATGCTGATGAAGTGGGATGAAAGTCCGTGCCTTGCGAATGCCATACCGCATAATCGACGACTGCACTGGCTCAATGTGCGTTTATCTTGTGAGACCACACAGTGTTAGTTTACTCGATAATTATAGTTACAGTGCACCCTCGAACTTCGAACGGTTTGACGTTCGAACAATTTGAAACTCGAACAAAAAATTCGAGGAAAATCCGGTTTTGAAACTCGAACGAAAACTCGAAAGTCGAACAAAAATTCGAAGAAAATCCGGTTTTGAAAATCGAACAAAAATTCGAAGAAAATCCGGTTTTGAAACTCGAACGAAAACTCGAAAGTCGAACAAAGAATCACGTGTTCGCACGCGCAGTCGCTCGGTCAGTTCTCCCGTGACCGGTTCAGCGAGCATCTCGCAAATTCAGTCTGTTTTTAAAGCGTTTTATTTATTTATTAATTTGGGTTATTTTTATATTATCTTTAATAATACCCATTCATATTGGCACCAAAGAGGTGAAAAGCCTAAGAGAAAAATCTTAATTTCTACGATAGAAATGAAAATGGAAATTATCACTAAGTGGGACAATGGACAATGTAATGCGACATTTTAGAAAAAATTTAAAAATAGACAGAAACAAATGACATTAGACAGGTTTCTCTCCAAAGAAAAATCAAGTGGTGGTAATGTTAATGAACCACAAAGAAGGGTAATTCATCCTCCAGTGAACAGTAATATCCCTCCTAATATTATTATTGATTGATTATTATACAATATTTTTTGTATGTACTATTATAAATAAAAACAATAAATTATTGAAATTAAATATACTTGTTATATCATTAGGCACTTAAAATGTTTTATATTGGGTAAATTTTGGGGGGTCTGCAACGGATTAATTCAATTTACATCATTTCTTATAGGGAAATTCAACTCGAAAGTCGAACCGTCTCCTGAAACGGATTGTGTTCGAAGTTCGAGGTTCCACTGTACTTCTATTACTATTCTGAATAGTCAGCCTGCGTGGAATAAATCATGGTCGTGTGTCAATTCATCAGCTACCTGCCGAATATGCAATTCTAAAATTTCTGCAACGGTGTCATATTAGTGTTATCAGCAGTGGCGAATCCTGGTCGAATTTCAAGTAGTGCGGGAATGTAACATTACATTTCCCCAACAATCAAACTATAGAATGCCCTAACTATCCTAGGTTGAAGGATTTAAAAATTTGCTAACACTGTTGAAAAAAAAATTTCGGAAGTGTGTTCTTTGTAGACAAAACTTTTTGTCTGCAGTCAGATTCGAACACGTAACTATTAAATCAGAATTAAATTACAACAAATTACGGAAGAATAAAGTATCTCCTTCCCTAGCACTTCTAACCTCGCCAATGCAGCACAAATAATACAGCGAATGTGAATAATAATACCGATAATTACTTTATATTCGTCAACAAGTTAATGGATTGCTTTAAATTCTTTAAAATACCACAATCTGCATATTTCGGTATCCACTTACATTTTTTCTTGTTATAAGTTCCACACGGAAGTTTCGAAACACATAGTTGAATAAAATACGAGTGCATAATTTTGACGAGTATTTATTCGAATACAACATACACATTAAAATTACGAGGACTTCGGGACTCGAACTTGCCAACGTGATCTTCGCATCAACGCTTGTCTCTCACCTCCGTGTTGCCGTAGGACTTGGTAACACGCCTCTGAAAATCAATTAGCATTAATTCACGTTTTCTTCAAATCAAGCAGACACACAGGTGTCTCTGCTCAAGACACCTGGAATAGATAATTGTAATTAATGGAAGGAACAGAAAAGACATGTACGGACAATTACAAGAAGATTACGAATGACGAATTGCTACACCAGCTGTCCGGTTTCGGACTTCGTTTTTGTCGCACGCAACATACAAGAGACGTGTTTTAAATATTTTGAATTTTTCGGGGAATATGTACACTCTCCCAGTGCCATCACAGAGCAGCTTGCGATGGTCAACTGTGTCAAATATTAAATAAAATTACTACGATATTTTGGCAAATGTTAACTTTAATGTAATCTTTGTCTTCTCGTGTCTAAATTTTCAGCCGCCAGAAGACATTCCAATCAACAGTTCATATTTCTTTGAGATGATACCCAGATAATTTACTCCAGTTTGGTCGCACTTTTAATTTTCTGATTCATTGACTGTTGAAACTATTATACTTCATCAGTAGTTCGGTTGTTGTGTTACAAATGTTTGATTCAAAGCCCTTTACGTATACGAGGTGCGATCGGAAAGTTTCAAGACTGTGTCAATAGAGGGCGAACCGGATGTAGTACGAGCTTCTGCCGCTAGGGGGTGCGACCTACATTCATAGTGAATCAGTGTGCCAGCCGGCATCATCGAATTAGCATTT